GCATGTCATGAAAGCATTATATATTTTATAATGATTCAAGCCATTATTCAACAGAGTTTTAAGTGTAATACTTTCTATTCCTATTTCTTTTAATTCTTCCAACAGAAATGCTCTTTCATTACCATCATAAGCATAACAATGTAATAGTGCATGCTCTACTGTTTCTGGACGACTTGTCAACTCGTAAGTACGAACTTCCCAGGAGGACTTGAACACAGCATTATACCTACTTGGAGAATGGCGGCCGCGCTACCGAAGCGCCACCTAGTGGCTGTTACCCAAAAAGCATCAGAGTTTCGCCTCTTGGTCTATACTCTTTGGTTTAGCAGCTCTAACCCTAATCAAACACACCTGAGCATGCTAATCAATGTCTTCAGGATCATTAGAAAATAGGTGCGTTTGATCAGGGTTGGCACAAAACTCTGCAGTGCATTGGCAGTCCAGGACAAGATTTGAGGAACCCTGCTCTAAAGCAATACAAGCCTCGATACGCGCTTCGAACCCCAACTTGATTTTGAATATGATAAAGATGTCTTCCTCTCTCCTCCTTATTCCAAACTTCATGCCATCTCATTTTTATTGCTGTTCTAATTTTAGCTTTAACTTCTTTGCTTGGTGGAATAATAATTTCTATATGTGATCATTTCAGTGCCTGTTTTGCTAAATGATCCGCAACCTCATTTCCACCCACTCCCACGCACTTACTTTTATTTACACCCAGCGTCACTATCCCCTCCTACCCTGCGAATTTCGTGCCCCTTATATAGCATATTTTATTTTAGATCAACTAGAAACAATGTTTAATTTATAAAGTTTTACCGTATTGGCCCGAATATAAGACGACCCACTCCGGTGGCAGGCGCACATAGCGGTGGCACGTCCGGTGGCAGGCGCACATAGCGGTGGCAGGTCCGGTGGCAGCTGCCCCTGCCACGCAAAGTGGCCCACCAGTAGCTACACGACATCCGCCTTTGATCTTGTAGGTGTCTTATTTCATTCCTCCTCTCTCACTGCAGCCGCCTTACTCTCGCCTAAATTTCAGGCGAGGGTAGCCGCATCTCAAACGAGCGAGTCTAATGTGTGTTCGACTTGAAGGTCGGTGTATGAGGTCCGTGTAAGCATACAGAGCCGTCTGCTCTCTAGAGCTCTCGCGATAGATTTGCGCTGCTTCCATTCGAACAACCCGGGATTAGCAATTTTGGCCTGTTCAAAGAAAAGACCGAAAATAACAAGTGAGGCCTGTTCGAAGAAAAGACCGAGATTAGCAACTAAGCTTTTGCTATCGCAGTAAGTAAACAATGTTATCATTTGAGAGTATTGAATCTGTACTACTTTAGTATACGCAATACATATTTACATCGATAATAGAAATATGAGTTAGATTAATAGTAAAAATATGACTTCGATAAATACATTGCCAATCGCATTTTTAAGAAACCGTATACAAGCTAACATCGACAGTAATCAATTGATGCACCGAATAGATCCGGCTATTGCACCTAACTGATTAGACTGTCGATGTTGATGTTATGGCCAGGTCCGGCCATTGCACGGTGCAA